GCGCTTGGTGATGTGAGAGCCTGGTCCGGTGAGAACCCGGCGTGCTCCGTCCCGGCTTTGTAGGGATGCGAGGTCATTAGTCTGAGGACTACGGCATGCGCGACTATGAGTACACCCCCCCCATCACCTTGTCATTGGTTCTATTTCAAAATGAAGAGGAGATATTATTACGATGTAAGTGACAGTAGAAATATGTCCTTCATATGTTGTTGTACTTGGTATTGGTTTAATTTTCATGTAGAGTATGAGACATTAAGTGAAAGTTTTCTGAGGTACATCTGCAAAAAAATATATTTATGGAATTTACGAGTGCCTCGTGACATGCTTCAACAAATAGCGTAGCGGTACAACGTTGGACGTTGTAGACACAGATTGCTGGTTCGATCCCTTCCGCGTTGTGTGATGTTCCTGCGCTAGTCATGTTGAAGAGAGGGAATATATCTGCCGAAATATCGCTTGATTGACCCAACGGTAGAGTGGAATACGATGAATGGAAGGGAGGGGAAAGCTCACAAATATTTTTCTCTTTTCTCCCCCTTCACACCAATCCGCGCATAGCCGCTTTCATAACCCGGCAAGTTATGCCCGCTCGGCCTGTAACCCCCCTACGTTATCCCATGTAACAACCCCTCGTTAGCCGGAGGTTACACAACGCCCCCGTACAACCGTGCCCACTGGCCCTCTGTGATGCTTTCGGGAAAGATAAACGCTCAGGGCCGCGACGGTAAGCCAATCGTTATTTCTGTTCCGTTGTTGCAGCTGCACAATTAACTGTACGCTAACCGGTGTCGGCTGAAACGATATTGTCATCTGCGATGTACTCCTAATCAAATACTGCTCGCTAATCCCGCTATATTTTGACATTATGAGCCTCCGGCAGTCCATACTTCAACTAAACGTGTCGGGTGTTCCTCCCCATGAATTTATACTCAAGTCAAACGGTCTCGCTATGATTATTAGAAACCTCAACTTCTCTGAAGGCATAGTCAACGGGCAAAAATGCATTTTGAAAGCAGTGTCACCAAACAGCCGTGTTATTCAAGCTGAACTTCTTACCGAAGATTTGCCCCATCCCATTGTTTCAATCCCCCGGTGTTTACCATCGGGGTTGGGTTTTCGTCGCTTGGCAACGACGTTGTAAAACAAGCCGCCCCTCCCGGTGTTTTGCCGTCGGGGTTGGGTTTCGTCGCTTGGCAACGACGTTGTAAAACAAGCCAATTCACTTCGTGAACTCGGCAACCAGGTTACCG